GTGTGTGTGTGTGTGTGTGTGTGTGTGTGTGTGTGTGTGTGAGAATATGTGTGTTGGGTAAGATTAGGGGCAGAGGCAGCTGTGGGTCTGTCCGGGATCATCCTGGATTATAGGATGGGCACACAGCTGCAACACGGTCACACACGACCACACATACAAACACACGCACACACACATACATATACATACACTCAGAGCGACACAAATATATCTGCTCTTTTACAAAATAAACAATGGTATTTTTCAATATAATTGTTTGTATTCTGTTTTGGAAATTGTATATTTGACATTGGCAATCAGGACTCTATTTATCTCATAATACTTTACAAAAGGTTTTGTATGGGTGAAGTGTAGCATGTTACAGTATCAGTGCAACATACCTTTGATCTATATTTCATGCAAATATAATCTCGCATTTACATCCGAATACTTGAAATACTTACGACCATGTCAGTTTAAAATGCAGCTTAAGAAACAGTAGTAAAACACAGTCAGTGTGTTTTTGCATTTAACAGCTGAACAGACAGATAAAGATTAAAAACAGAGTCAATATTGGACGTAGAAACATCAGGTGGCCACAAAAAGTACTGAATAAACTGTAATTAGCTATTGCAGGTTGAAATAGCAACAAAATGAAAACTAGGAGGTGTTCTTGGAGATTGCAGACCTCCGTCAAGCTAAGGTCTCAACTCACCATTTTAAAGAAAATTTAAAAAAGAAATCCTGGATCTCCCTGTTTATCCGGATCTGCTCCAAAATGTAATGGGTTCTCCCCTGGGTCAGCCCTCCACAAAATTTCATGGAAATCTGATGAGTAGCTTTTTTCAACTAATCCTTCAGACCGACAAACAGCACTGAAAACACAATCTTCTTGTTCAGAGGTGATAAAACATAAATAATCTCCTCCATGCACCTATTCATCCATTCATCCATCCGTCATTCAACTCTTTGTTATCTATATTGATTTGTGTTTCCAGCTGTCCAGAGGATGGCCCAGGCTCACCTGGCCTCCCTGGACATGACCTCTGTGGACAAAGAGGATTCTTCTTCAGGTGAGGAAGAGGAGGGAGGAGAAAAAACCAGCCGGCAGACAGACTCAGCCTCCGGTGGGTACAGGACACCGTGGTCTTCTTCATCTCACACTGGCACTTGGCAGCACTTATAGAAATGGCTCACACTTGTGAAATCTCTTTCTTGTCAGATCCAAGAGAAGAAAGCAAACCACTCAGGGATCAATGCGCTCCGTCAAACATTTCAACAGCGAGTTCTGATCTCAGCCCAGGAGATGAAGGGGAGGCCAAAGAAAGAGAGGAAGGAAAAGGGGAATGACAGAAGTACCAGCTCTCATGTTGGCGAGGAACCGACTTCCACAGCACATGTGTGGTCCATGCTTGTGTGTGCATGGGTGTATGTGTGATAGTGTGTACTGTGGATGTAGGAGTGTGAGCATGCATGCGAGACAAAGTTGAATGTGGAAAGGAAAGAGAGCGAACAGTCGGGTAAAGAGGAAGGTCAGAATTTTAATGAGGAAAAGTTTAACACTGGACTTTGTGAAGTCACGTCTGGGTCAGCGAAAGGAAACCAATCATCCAAGGACACGGCACGAGACACAAGGAGAACTGCCGAGAACAATGAAGTGTTGTGTTTTTGCAGGATTCGACAGGATTCGTCTTGGGCGAGTTTTCCACTAAACTATTCATGTGTGAAGAATGAGATTCAGAATTACCTTTTAAGTGCCAAGTGTACATAATGTACAGACCATTTCATCGCACTGGTACTAAAACTCACACCTCATGAACGATCAGAAATAGCAGACGATGTAAATGGCTCGGGACAGGACCCCAATTTCATGCACAGGGACAATATACGCTGAACACATATGAACTGCGGAGATAAATAGTTCCACAGTTCTGTTTGTGTAGAATGAAAGTGTAGTGTTGTCGCAGCACAGAAGCAGTGACATGATGAGGTTGAATAGTATAGGATATACTATATTAAATGATATACAACAACATGATACACAATATATTACAGCATCAAAAAGAGACAGACCTGATCAAAATGTAGTCACTGCTGCTTCTAATCATCTTCAACTTTCAGTTTCAGTCCCTCAACCTCCCAGACGTTTACATGCAAGGTCAAGGAAAATCAAAGCCGGATGGATTACAGACGATTTCAGTGCAGTCACAGTCACAGCAGATTAGATCACATCAGCCTAATCCAACTAATCATGATAATGCAGCACGGTTATTTTTGGTTTCATGTCATGAACAGGCTTTTTTGTAACATGGCGATCTGCGAGCGTGATCTCTGTGAGGTTGTACCGTAACTGTGGGCAGGAGGAATACTCGATATGTTCATGAGGAGGATTAAAAGGTTCATTCATGACCCTGTATATAAATAATGTTTTGTGTTGGTTGCTAATAAAATAGTTATAATGGGCTGCTGGAGTTTGTGTCATTGTATGTTAAAGGAATTCAATCGCAACAAATACAACACAACAAATGACAGCAGACGGTGAGTTGTATTAACAACCCTGCAGTAATTGTGTTTTGTATGATCTTGGTACATTTCTGTTAGGTAGCTGGGTGAACACAGACTTCAGTTTTCCCAAAGATGTCAGAAGAGAAATGTGTTGTGAACAATAATACGGATTTGGGGTCAAGAGATATTTTCAGAGTAACCCAACATGGCCAAATACTGACACCCAGTGTTCAATACTAACAATTACACTGTTTTTTGATATTCATGTTTTAAGTATATTCTAAACTAGAGTGGCTCTGTTGTTTCATAGGTCCCCTCATGAAACCACATTCAAATACACTAGATCCACATTATTATTTTTGTCAGCACCAAAATTGCACACAGCCCTAAATATCAGTCCCATTAACATGCCTGACCACCTGACAACTCTGACCAGCAACAGCATTTAATTGCATCTTCTTTAGGTCATGTCCCACCCCTCCACATAATGTAATGGAAATATGTTATGTAGTTTTTGCGTAATCCTGTTAACAAACCAACAAATGCAAACAAAATATAATCTCCTCATCTGACGAAATTACAAAAGCAATGAAAAAGTCTATTTTAATATAGAAAATAAGTTTATATGAGACACGCTTTGAGATCAGAAAAAATATTTTGAAAATGGGAACGTCATGAGAATAGACAGAATAGATCATTTACTTCTTTACTTTCACTTTTAATATTGTTTTTCTAATATTGCAATTAAGTTCATATCAAACCCAATGTGCAGAAAGAAAATGTGAAGACAAAAGCATTGCGTTAAGATTGCGTCTTTATTCACATCATCACATATTACAAAACACAACAGGACACACATCAACCTCTTAAGCACTTAATTTCCCTCCGGGGATGAATAAAGTACTCTATCTATCTATCTATCTATCTATCTATCTATCTAAATATTGAGCATGTCAAAATATACTGTGTGTGAACTGCTGCATTAAGATGAAGATAAACTTTGATATAACAATGAGAACAAAACTGGAGCATGACATTCTTGATGCTGTAGTTGTTGGGTTTTAACAGCAGGAGGCAACATATGATTATGTTTCTACATGTAACTGCTACTGTGGTAGAATAAGAGAACGTTTCAGACTAATGCACCATCAGAAAAGACAATAACTAGACTCATTCCATTCCTATTTTTCATTTTATCATTAATATCTTTTATCATTGATACTTTTTCACTTCCATATTTAATACTCTTTCCTCTGCCTCTTCTGCCACTTCATCCTTCAGTCTTTTCTTGCCTTTACAAAAAACACTCCAGTCACATCATCCACCCCGACCCTCATGTCCTGAGGCAGTGTGTAAACCTCCAGCCGGATAAGGGTGAAGCCACTCTCCTTCAAACTAGCACAGACCTGTTCCTCATTCAGTGGGACCACCGGGATCTTTACCCCAGGGCCCCCAAAGTAGTAACTCTCTCCGAGGGCCCCGATGAGCAGGAGGTGGCCACTGGGCCGCAGGAGCCTCCCGATGTGGCCCAAGGCCTTGGTGAAAGCAGCCAGGTCAGGGCTGACGCTCTCCAGGCAGAAGCAGGAGACGAGACAGTCGGCCCCTGCTGAAGGAAGGGCGTCAGGGGCCATAGGCTGAGGGCGGTGCACATCAACTGGGAGGACGTCCATGATGACCTGACGTAGCTTGGCAGCTTTCTCTGTCCATGCTGAGGGCCTGATAGAGACAATGAGGAATTAAAATTGAGATTTTAGAAGACTTGAAAGAACATGACTGAAGAATTCTCAGCAGGGATCGGGTTGTACCGTCGTCCCTCCAGCTTGCACACGTGCTGGAGGTACGGGGTCCAGTCCAGGTTGCAGCCCCCCTCGCCCTGGAGCCAGCGCCTCAGCTCCTGCCTGTTGACCTCCAGAAAGTCTGTGAGCAGCACCTTGTTGAAAACCTCACAACCGCTCAGCACCTGGTAGAGAGTCGGACCCGAACCTATGTCCACCAGCAGCTCACCACTCACATCACCTGGGGAGAGGTGCAAGAGAAAAGGAAATTCTGAGAAACCTAGAGTTTGATACCAAAAAATCAAGTCCTGCTTAAATATTTTTTTTTATAAAAAAGATGTGTTTTAGAAGATGTGATCATCGAAAAGAAAGGTTAATTGGGAGAATAAGTACGTCTGAGAAAGAATTCCTTCCATTTAAGTCCTGTTACTGGTGTGACATTAGATTCACTCATATTTAAATAGCTATTTTAAAACAGTATAAGTAAATGTACCAGTAAGTTTGTGTGGTTCGTCTCTTTACCTTCGGTGAAAGCTCTGTGGAGACAGGCCAGTTTCCACGGCACTATGCTGTCCGTCCTCTCAAAATCAGCCCTCGGTGGAGTGTAGTTATACTGCAGATACGCTGCAGGATCAAACCCCTGGTAACAGGCGGCCATGGCCACCACTCCACTCTCTTTTCCCTTTTCTTCCATCCTCACTTCACACTCTTCAGCTTGGTGGTCAGTCTGCAGGTGCGTGACTGGCCCCTCAGCCGCCTTATATATCTGTATATGTGGGTTCATCTCTCATTACGTGCGTGCTTTGGGCTACTCTGAGTTTCCTGGGCAGAGATAGAGATCATGTTTTTCAGCCTGTGTTGCTGCCTGATAGCATTTGTTCTGTTCACTCTCCCCAGGGCACTGATACCATCAGATCAGGGGGCTTCCTCCAACACTCCACCTAATAATGGACTCCTCACAAGGCTTTCAGGTCTTCCACTCACCCCTCAGAGGCCCTCCCTATCTCCACCATCACTCTGACGGGCCTTTTACGCTCCAGCCATTGACCACTTTTGTCTCAGGAAACCACGTTTCAAAAGACACAAACAGGTCTATCTTCAAGACAAAAAGGTTGCGTCAGTCTCTGTCTGCTGTTTTACTTTGGTGAGTCACTGTTTCAAGAAATGACAGATACGTCAAGTAAAACACAATTATATGCACAAAGAGACAGACAATTTGTTTCTGAATATTAATGTATTGATGTGATCTCTGTCTCTGTCTGCGTACATGCATTTGGACGAAACTTGTATTTTACTAATATAGAATATTTTAATCCACAATTGTGCTGGATAACAAAACAAGGATTTACCTGTCAAGACATTAAAAAAAGAAAAACACTATTAATCTACATAATCATCATCATGGAAATTTCAATGCATAAAATTAAGCTTCACAAAAACTAACAGTAATGCAGGTGAAAATAAAGTGCTGTTGATGCCTGTGTGGCTCAATTCTCAAATATTACTAAATCCTTTCTTGTGATGAAATCAAAAATCAAAAATTTTAAAGGGGGCATTGTTGACTTTAATCAGATCCTTGTGGAAACTGATTTAATTTGTGACTTGATGATTCTCCTTCTGTAGTTATTCAATATTCTGGTTATTCAATATTCAGCTATAGAATTGTAATATAAAGTTTATCGTTGCAAAAAAATAACTTGTCAAATTTCGAAACCTGGCCAACTGACAAAAAACATCCCCTGATAGAATTTCCAGTGTTTGCTGCCCATTACCAGCTTTTACCAAACAGCAGCTGAACAAACGTGGAACACAGCCATGTAGTAATCAGGTGTATTCTCCCCAGGAGTCTGTTAACACCTTGTTCGGCCCTGGCAGCTGACGTCAAAAATATTACAGTGACTGAGAGAGTCAGGGTTTCATCTATGTGGAAAGCTGCCATGTGATGCTGTTGAATTAGTTTTTTGGACATTTTGTACGACTGTAAGAGCTGAAAAATGTCTCATTTGCAAATACAACACCAAGAAGAAATCAAACAGCACATGATGCACTCATAGTACAGTACAGTATATTATATTGTAGTATAGTATTGCACAGTGCAGCACAGTGCAGTGCAGTGCAGTGCAGTGCAGTATAGTATAGTATAGTATAGTATAGTATAGTATAGTATAGTATAGTATAGTTAGTGGATTAGTGGAGACCGAAGCAGCTTCAGGGTCAGTTTCTTCCCCTGAGTCAGATGGACAGATAAAAGAACAGGGAGGAGGAGGACGAACACAGAAGAGCAGATAAAGGACAAATGTGGACGACTGAAAACAAGAACAGGACAGATATAATAGAATAATTCACATTTAGCCCGAGCATCAGGATCCAATTTAGTTATCTGTGGTGCTTTGGGGGGGTCCGACAGTGCCACTCTGCTCTGGGTGACTTTTTATTTTGTAACAGCAGGAGAGCAGGTACACAAAAACTTTCATCACTACTGCGGTGAAGCTGTACTAAACTTTAAGGATAAACAGACGCCAGGTAAATATTATTTTCACACAATATGGAGTGTTGTTGTATTTTTAATTAAAAAACGCAGCGTTTAAAGGCTTTAACGTGAATCAGCTTTAACAGTTTGTTGGTGAGATGTAAAAGAACATCTCTGACATTGTTGACAATGAAAAGGACAAAATGAAATGACTCAAATCATTGAAATTGTTTTGTCATTATATTTGTTCTACTTGTTGAATTTGTATCTAATCACGCTCAATGATTTCATTAACAATGAATTGAGTCAAATCAAGTTTGTGACCAAAGTGCTGTTTAATAAAAGAGGACACAATGTAAAACACAAGAAAAGAATAAAATTAATTTTTTTCTTTCTCTCCCTCTCAACAACCGAGTTTTATTCTGAAATGCATGGGTTAGAAAGGCACTTCCGCTCCTGTTCCGTGTTTTGCCGGTTTTTTCCTGACGTCACTTCCTGCCACTTCTCCGCCACTACACGAGACTTTTCCACGAAGAAAAACAACAACCGCACGTGAACCGCCAACTTCTCCCGCCACGAGGAACCAGCTCCCCGGTGCTTTGACTCTCTGTAGCGGGGCTGAGAGTCGCGGAGGTCCGGGTCACAGGAGGGAAACGCTCGCTTCGCAAGCAGCGGGGATAGTTTCATCATCAGCTCCTGTCAGTCAGAGGAGGAGGAGGAGGAGGAGGAGCAGGCGTCACGGTGAGTCCTCCTCTGTGTGAACTACTGAGGTACATGAAGGAATAACGGGCTCGGGGAGATGAACTAGTCCGAATAGGAGACGATTCACAGGGAGAGACACACGAACACATCCCCCGGTAAAGTAAGAAGAGAGACTACATCCAGGGAAACAACAGGATTATTAAATGAACAGTTTGTCTCCATGGAGCCACAGGTTGATCTCTCCTCTCTCACTGGACCGTGTGTGTTTGTCTCTCTCTCTCTCTCTCTCTCTGTTAAAGGCCGTAACTTCACCACCATGCTACTGCACAGGCTCACGCTCTCTGCCAGGATCCCACTGGATTCCCTGAGACACGTCCGCCGCCTGCTCACCACACCACCGACACAAGGCAAGAACAGCTGCCCCCCCCAGCACGGTGTCGTAAAGTCTGTCCTCTCATGTAAAGTCCAGACACAGCCATCCTCTCATCCAGCTGATGACACAGCCTCTGTTCCTGAAACGATCTTTATTATCTGATAAGTAAACTGACATAATATTATATTAAGAGCAAACTATTCAGACGTGATTTCTTTTCTTTATTTGATAGTGAACTGAATATTTTCAGGGTCTCTGAGTGTTGATCCACTAAACATTCAACACTACAGGCTTCAGCAAACTGTGTTGGATGTTTGTCAGCTTTGCTTCTGGCATTTTAAAGACCCATCATTGACACTTTAAAGACTAATTGATTGACTTAAATTAATCATCAGTTTCAAACCACAGTTATGATCATTTTACCAAACCTATATCGGCTTGTGTTTGGACGTGAGTGCCTGCAGCGTTTGCGTTGATTGCCTGTCACTACATTCATCAGTGAAGTACGTGGAGGCAGATGTGGTGAATTCCAGATGTACATATGATGAAGTGCTGTTGAAACATTTCATCATGCTTTTGAGATTTTTATGCCTGCAGGGTGTTTTCTGACCCGCTTTCTATTCTGGACAAGAAGCCACAGGTCTCTCTCACTCTCTCACTCTCTTCCTCTCTTTCTCTCATGCGCCTCATTGCTCCAGAGAGATGTGTAATGTCAGCACAGGCTTTCTGCTCACCCTGCTGATGTGGCAATTCGAAGGCTGCGATTATCTGTGTCCCAGGTTACATGTGGATGCTGGGGGAGGGCTTCACTTTTTTTTTTGCCTCACTCGTGTAACCAGTGAAATAAAAACCCTGCAAAAAAACATGTTTGTAAAATTTTGTCTTGTTTTACAGTTTTTTTGTGGGTTTTTAGTTTCTTGAAAAGAGTTTTCCATGCACTCATTCTCAAGATTTCCTCCACCACTCTCTCTATGTTTCTTTTAAAGAATAAATATCTTTATTAGATAAAGTTAAATTCTGCATTGCCATCTCATCTCTTTACACAGCCCCGCAGGGCAGGGTCCATGGCAGCTCCTTCGCCCACCGTGGTGAACTCCGTCACGCTAAGAGGATCGTAGTGAAGCTCGGCAGCGCTGTGGTCACCCGCGGTGACGAGTGTGGGCTGGCTCTCGGGAGGCTGGCCTCCATAGTGGAGCAGGTGAGAAGCACAGAACTAACACAGGCTGTATTTCAAACAGTGTTTGGGTCTTTTAGTAAAATCTTCATGAGGGAAGAACAAACCTTGAGGCCATCTGTCTCAAGTTCTGTGATGAGTATGATTTTTTTACAACTCACTGCAGTTTATCTGTAGACCAGCTCACTGTCTATTGAGGTTTATTAGACAACTGAAACCTTCTGGTTCATCCACAATTTGAGAAAATCTGGTCATGCATTTAGTTTGATTTATTTTCTTAGGGTTTGAAATATCTGCCAGAAAACAATACAGCATGCAAATGGCCTGTCACTGAGTAATTACTAATATTCAACACCCTGTAACCACAGTTAATCCACAGAATATAGACTTGAAGAGACTCTTGCTTTGGTAGAAAGTAGTTTAATCAGCAGCTGTTTGCTTTGTTTCCAGAAAGACCCATTACACTGACTTTTTTCACTTTGAAAACCTAAAGTCTTTCATCCATTTTTTTTTATTGTGGGAAGGGCAGACATTTCAGAGATGAATGTTTCAAGATATCCACAAATAAAACAAAAAAAGGGTAGTCACTTTGAAGGGTTTTTGTGGTTTTTAAGCTAAATCCACATTTGAGTTTGACCGTGCAGAGAAAATGTCTGTGGTTTGCTGATGTGATCCATTGCTGCTATAATTGGTTATGCTGTTGTCCAGGTGGCCATGCTGCAGAACCAGGGCAGGGAGATGATGATTGTCACCAGTGGAGCAGTGGCCTTTGGAAAGCAGAGATTAAGACATGAGATCCTGCTGTCACAGAGCGTCCGGCAGGCGCTGCACTCTGGACAAAACCAGCTCAAAGACATGGTGAGACAAGCTGGAGGGATGTTAAAGTATCAATCAACACTTAGTCATATAAAGAAGAGACTGCTGACTTCATTCCAATACAGTTGATACAGTGGATGAATATAAAGGAATACAACATCCTACTGATAAACTGGTCACTTGTTG